AAAAATGGCCGCGTAGACCAACAAAAAACATGCAAATATTGTGGTCCTAAACATGCATGAGCAAAAGAAAAAAGCATTTTTGCGGACTTAAAGTTTAAAGTAAAAGGACAAAGCACAAGTGTTAAATGTCAACTAGATACCGCTGCAAGCTGTAATGTTGTTGGTCTCAAATGTTTACGAAAATTGCTAGATGAAAACAACATAAAGCTTTTGCGGAGTAATGTTAAATTAAAGTGCTTTAGCGGAACCATTATAAGCCCAGTTGGACAAATAGAGCTGAAATGTGTACATGAGGGAAAAAAGTATAAAATTAATTTTCAAGTAGTTGATGGTGAACAAATACCGCTTTCGTCAGCTAACGCGTGCATATCAATGGCTCTGATACGCGTTGTAAACAATATAAAAAACGAAACCTCTGCACCAAGAAAATCACTAAATAACAGTGACATCGAGCATGCAAAAAGTATTCTTAAACAATTTGGCAGTGTGTTCAAAGGTGATGGCCATTTTCCAGGTACGGTAAAATTGGAGCTGAAACCTGATGTAAAACCAAAAATTGACCAAACGCGTCGGATTCCAATCTATATAAGAAAAGATTTTTTAAAAGAAATCGATAACTTAGAAAAAATAGGAATCATAGCAAAAGTGGCCCACGCTACGGACTGGACAAGCAATGTCGTAGTAGTGAAACGCAAAAACAATGAAATTCGCGTCTGTTTAGATCCTTTTAATCTAAATCAAGCACTACGAGTGCCACATTTTCAAATGAACACCATCATCGAAATATTGCCTAGTTTTCACGGTGCTCGCATTTTTTCCACTTTCGATGCAAAAAATGGATTCTGGCAACTAACACTAGATGACGAAAGCAGTCGTCTAACAACGTTTTGGACACCAAAAGGTCGCTATCGCTGGCTACGTATGCCTTTTGGAATTTGTTGCGCTTCTGAAGCATTTGCCGAGAAGCAGCTAATTGGTCTAGAAGGTGTAGAATCCATAGCTGATAATGTAGTTGTTTTCGGGAAAGGTACCTCAAATAAAGACGCCTTAGCACAATAAAAATTTAATTAATTTTTTAAAACGAATGTCTAAACTAAATAAAAAGTTAAATATCGAAAAAGTTAAACTGTGCCTATCTGAAATTTCCTTCTTCGGACACATCTTGACAAGTAACGGATTAGAGGGTGATCCACAGAAAATCAAGGCAATTTTAGACATGCCAACGCCAATTAACGCCACAGAAACCCAACGTCTATTAGGTATGGGGAATTATTTAATGCAGTTTCTTCCAAAACTATCTGAAGTCGTTGAGCCAATCCGAAAAACTCTAAAGAAGGATTCAGTCTGGACGAGGTCTTGAAGCAGCGAGCAACCACCGCTCCAGTATTGGGCTATTT